GCAACAGAGGTTCAACATACATACATCTTGAGATAGAGCCCGTGTTTCAGCCGCCCTTGGTTAAACCGGGTTTCTCAAGCATGGCGAGTTGACGGCCTCAGTCCAGTCACCGGAACCGATACGTGCCACTGTGAGAGGCGACGGCGATAGCTTGCGGGGGAGGCGTTCATCCAGCAGCGGACAGATCATGACTGCTGCGCATTAATGCTTAAGCCTTGGCACCGGGCTGTTGGGAACATTCCCCATGCGTTGCTTTGAGATCTTTCAACGCGTTAACCGCAGCCAAAATTGGACGAGGTTCAGCAACTCTTTATCAGACTCCAACGTTACCGCTCACTCAGGTGTGAAGTAAACGAGCTATATAACTCTTTTTCAGAAGCAATCTGGCCACAAATGATAGATCACCAAAGTGGCTGATAACGTGCACATTTGTTGCAGCCAAATACTCTAAACGCACGATTCTACGATTGGAGGGAAAAACCGGAGGACCCGGAGAAAAATCCATGCAACCACGGGGAAGAACATGCAAACTCTAAATATACAACAGGTGTCAGGGTCGAGATTGAACCCACGACCTCCTGTATACCAGGTGAGGTAATTAACATCTCCTAGCCACCGCGGCGCCCACTGATGATTATAACTGACCCCCAAGTCTGTTCTGCGCTCGATGCGGAAAATTACTATCCAAGAGGCCTGGCTAGGGGTGATGCATCTTATTAGGAAGCTACTGGAGCTATGCACTTTTACAAATAGATTGTAGAACTTATTTCAGTGTTTAGTTTTTTGTCCTTGCCCCGCACCTCCGATTAGCACGGTTGGCTACGTACAGTGAAAAAGAAGTTCAACATACATACGTATCACGCCATCTAGAGGACCATTCGAAACAGCCCATTGATGACTTTGCGACAACTACGACCCAAAATTGACTGTTCAGATGTGTAACTATTCATGCCGATGAAATGTCGCAATTCAGGGTCACGAATCGATTCCTTTACCATGGCCACGAGTCACCGCGTGGGGTGGGTCACGAGAATCAACTGTTGAATTGAATCATGACCTCAAATGGTGACACCTCACCGAATCGCTGGTCGAGGGAGACTTTATCGCCAGCGTGAAATTACAAACTTGTGACGCAACTCAGCGAGATGTTTCTGCACTGGCCAAAGAATATTCTGGCAGCCCAGGGGCGAAGTAACCTCGAAACAAACCTAAATCTGGAAAGGTAAAATGTGGAGGTGGCCAAGTGGCTCAAAGTTCAGAGACGCCGAGCCGGCACCACTGAGACCCCGGGTCCATCCATCGCAGAGATGGAGGGATGAGATCAGCTACGTGTGTAGGAACGTAATGGATCTTCGCATCACAACAGCGCGATGAATGGCAACAGCGTCATCCTGCAGTGGATGGGACTGTGGCTGATGATGTGACCACTGGAGGGACACTACATTCACCACAGCAAAGGATAAATTCCGGACGATGAACCTCGGTCCAAAAGCACGACGGCTAACGAATGAAGTGGGCTGGGAGTGGTGGCGATGTGTTACTCACATTAGCAAAGGGTGTCACGTTTCGCACCTCTTCCAAGTGCGCAGTTTTGTCCCTGGCGTGGAGCCGCTCGTTTGCTGTAACCGACCCGTCAGTTGGGGGCGGCGGCGGCAGCGTTATTGGCGAACGGGAACAGGTACTGAACGTTACGGATTTCGTGAGCAGGAACTAGAGTGAGGGTGACATGATTTTTTTGCAGGATTATAATCGAGCTGTGTAAGTGGACTTTCATCCGAAAGAATGGTGTGACAGTCAAGTTGACCTGCACTGTTAAGCAGAACGTCAAACAACTATGCATTTATTGATTTCACATACGGTACTTACAAATATACACAACGTAAGTGTTTGTGTCTCACAATAAACATCGAAAACATTTCTGAACAAGTGGAACTAGAACAAGTTGGCCATTGAGAAAGCGAACCAGAAATGAAAAAAAAAACAAGAGATGGAACTGGAATTTAAAGGGCACTTTCATTATGTACAGAACAAATATAAGAATCTAAATTTGCGGCATAGAGGCGAGCAAAAGAATGGGGAAATTTGAATTATTTATCATCGCGAAAACTAAATTTGCACTGCTCAGCGTTAAATCTAGTTTGAAGACCAATTTCTTTCGGACTGATTTTTCAGTTTAGTTTGTTATCCTTCCTCCGCACCTCCGATTAGCACGGATGGTTACGCAAGGTGCAAAATAAGTTAAACATACACACACGCCTGAGTTAGAGTCCGGGTTTTCAGCCGCCCGTGGTTATACCGGGTTTCTTAAGCGTGGCGAGTCGACGGCCTCGGCCCAGTTACCGGAACCGATACGTGCCACCGAGGGACGACGGCGATAGCTTGCGGCGGGAGGGCGTTCATCCAGCAGCGGACAGATCATGGCTGCTACGCTTTAATGCTCAAGCCTCGGCAGCAGCGCAAGCACGGTTGGCAACGTACGGTGCGAAGGAAGTTCGACATGCACACACACACACGCATACACGAACTGTGCAATGCCAGAGCAGGGCCAAATATCCTCCTCGTGTGTGTCTCCAGTCGTAAATCCTGGCCAACAGGTGTTTGGGGAACATCGGATTAAAACAAAAACGTATCACACCGAGCTATTTAAAGAGTCGAAAATTGTGTTGTGGGAGACCTATCTGAAATACGAAGCCACCCCACGCTAAGCACGTCGCTCCGCAGGGCTGCCAGGATCGCTGCCATCGCGGTAGGATGGGTGGGGACAGCGGTGCAACGAAATCAATCCACTGTTTGTCCCTATACTGCGCGGTAGTTAAATGCTTTCCCCGGCCGCACCTCGATCGCCTTCAGCAAACCCAGCACTGATCCAGCAGTGGTGCACACGTATTGGCTTGGCTTGTGTTTGGGGGGGGGGGGCGAATAACACAAACGATCGGCAGGGCTGAGGTAAGAGCCTGCTGTGAAGACGACGTGTGAGCGTGCATGTGCGTGTGTGTGCGCGCACAGTCCGCGTGCTGATTATGCACGAGCGGGGTGGGGGAGGCTCGTTACAGGTGTCCCAAACGCCCCACACCGTGGCCAGGTCTAAGCCGCCGCGGGGGGGGGGTGCAATTAAGTGCTGAGATAACCCCCGTTGCTAGCCGCCACGCATCTCAGGAATGTTTAAGGATTCACCACCATCACCACCCTTCCTTCCCCTCCCCACAGGCTGATGGTTGTTGGGATGATGAGACTAACAGAGCCCCCCGCTCTCTCTTAAAGAACATGTCGATTCGAATATGAGACCAGAATTGATGCCAGATGATGGAGGGCGGCGATGATTAAGAGAACGTTTGTGTGTTGATCTTCTTTTGCACCGTACGTACCTTGCTAATCGGAGGTGTGCAAAACGTGATGGGGGCCGTAAGAACGTGATGGGAATGTTAGAGCGGTCCCTGATGGCTATATATTCTGTGTATCCAAGGGAATAACTAAATCCAAGGAAGTGGTGATGATGAGATTGTAAGAACAGCCTTTTTAAAACTTGTCAACTGTGTAACAGGGGGGATACAAAGCAGATAGATGGTGGTGATGATGAGTTTGAGTGGTATTTGAAGGAGGTGTGACTTCAAAAGCTGCTGGATCTAGCAGGGTGAAAGGAAGCTGCGGTTAGTGAGGTTGTGGTGGAATCAAAAGGCACTTACTATGATGACCTTGGGTCATTAAAAGTGAACGGCGGTCATTTTGATTAACAGATCTTTATAACCATATAGTGTAGTAATTATCATTGAGGTGTGGGTGTTACGTCTGGTGCATTAGGGTTTTGAGGAGGAGTAATGCTAGCGTAGGGGGTTAGGAACAGTGTGTCCTGTCGTCTGCTGTTCATGTCAGCATGTGTTGCCGTCACGGCTGGTGTTACAGACAAGGTTTGTGTTCATGTCTGAACTCGTTTCACTATGTCACAGTTCGGGCTAGTGGTTCTGTCATAGATAGGGCGAGTAAGCACTGCCGTAAATGACAAGTGTTGGGGCTAGAGAGTTAGCGTTAGGGCTCGCGTTCGTGTTATGGGTAGGGCCTCGTGTTTGTGTTAACAACCAGTGTGGTTCGTGTCAGGGCTCGTGTGCGCGTTATAGACGGCTAGTGCTGGCGCTGTTATACGACAAAGTGTCCCGTGTCAGGATCGCGAGTGTGCTATCCTGTGCATGCAGAGCGAGTGTCCCGGGGAGGGGGGCTCGTGTTTAACGCTCGTGTTACATAAGCATGCCCCGTACACCATCACTATTCATGACACAACAACACACCGCCATCACACAGCGCAGAAAGAACTGCAGTGACCACTTGTTTTTTTGTGCGTGTTTGCCCGATCCCGACAAGGCGCGAAAAGCCAAAGGTGCCCCTGCGCGCCTGGCCACGTCATTCGGGTAGGGGATACCCACACCCACCGCCGCCGCCACGCTTAACAACAGGCGTCATAGGCTGCCGTGGGACTACGCTGCGAGGAGCAGAGGGCAACGGCAGTAGAGCAAAACCCGCCGCTGCTGTGCGAGCTAAAACCGTCTACCGTCAAGCCCCGCCACCGCCAAGCCCCGCCACATCCACCGCTCAACGCCGCGTGAACCGGCGCGGTGAAGTATGGACAAAGGAAAAACCCGCGCGGCCCTCGCCCGGCAGTGAATTGACAACACGCACGCGCGCGGCACGCATCCCAAACCAAATCCTAATTTGAAATACGTGTAAACTTCCCACGTATGAATCTCGTTGCAAGGCCGGCCACACACACACACACACGGCACGATAACTGCGTGGCCCCGGGCCTAGTAGCATCGCTCGCTCGCCCCACGCCTTCTCTCTCTCTCTCTCCGCCGACTTGAAGCCGACACTGACAGCCGGTGGGGTTGGTTGTGGGTGGCCGGGAGGAGCGGGGTGGTGGGTGGGGTGTTGTGGATGCGGTGAAACAATGTTCTATCTGATGTGTCGTCGTCGTCGTCGTCGTGAATGTTGTTGTGAGGAGAATCACTCACGGCAATGAGCTTATTCATTGAAGACGTCCAGGCGGGCGGGCGGAGAGCGGGGCGGCGGCGGCGACACGAAGGGGGGAGAGAGAGGAAGGAGGAGGAGGGAGGGGGTGGGGGTGGGTGGAGCCACGGCGATTGCGTCACACCCTCACCGGAAGCGGAAGTCGCGTGCCGGTGGGCGGTAGGGTGAAGGGCGGGCAAGAGGAACAAATACCGGATCCGGAAGTCGCGTCCCATATATTTGTATGAAACAGAATATTTATTTGTACTGGAGGAATCTCCATAGCGCCCGGCCGCACACCGATCAGAATCTTTATTTAGATCGGAGGAATCCGATGAGCTATAAAACTCCCCCCCCCCGAGATCTCCAGTACCGGTTCCGGAAGTTTGCATGCCGGTAGTGGGAGGGGTAAAAAAAAAACCCTCACAAATACCGGATCCGGAAGTTGCGTGCCCGTTCGAGAGGGGGGGGCGGTGCAAGAGAAACAAATACCGGATCCGGAAATTGCGTGCTGTGCTAGAGGGGGCGGGGTTTTGATTTAAAGTTTTCGTGACTGCAGGGATTCATATGAGGGGGCGGGGTGTCAGAGAAACAAATTCTGTACCATTAACCGGAAGTAGCCTACTGTGCGAGGGGGGGCGGTGCAAGAAAAACAAATACCGGAACCGGAAGTCGCGTGCTGTGCGAGAGGGTGGCGCGGTATAAGAGATCGACAGACCGGATTCGGAAATGACGTCGCAGAGAAGGGGGGGGGTTAAAACCGGAAACACGTGGGGGGGTGTGAGTAACCGGCTGTAGGAATCATGTGGTGGACGTGGGCGGTCTGGAAGCTCCCACGTTGATTGGGGATCTTGTGGGGTTGTTGGGTTGCTGAACCACGCCGTGGGGGAAAACAAATTATCAACCGTATCAGTCGGAACTGTTCCGAGGACTGGAAAATATTCTACCCGCCCCGATGTCGCGGTGGGGGGGGGAATGTTGAGAAGCCTCAGGAAATATTTCACTGAAAAGAAATCGACCGCTGTTTGGTCCTCCCCACGTTTTACACGCCGTGAGGGATATACTGTATGGCCATACTCACGCTGGCCAAAGCTGGTTGGTGAATAGGGGAGTGCGGGACACTGGATTTTGCTGGAATACCCTCTACTGGCCACACCTATCGTTTGCGCATAGCGGCCCCCTATCCAGAATCAGAATATTTTATATTGGAGGAATCCGATGAGCTTTACAGATCTTATTGTGAAATACACCTCCGCCTAACCTTGCTTACGCTGCCGATATTTCTTTTTACTTAAACCACAACACCTACAAACGTAAAAAAAAAACAGAACTGAAGGATATGTATACATGTATCCGCAGCTCTTTGTCAATCCACTGCTTCATTAAGGCCTTGACCACGCTATCGTCAGTCGTGGGGATGGTAAACTATACTTTACCGCCCTGATAAATGCAGGTCGGTAGAAACCAGGACCGATCTAGATTTCACTCCACTGATTGTTAGCCGTGTGACCAGGAATCGAAATGAAGTTGGCCGGGTTCGAAGCACAACCACCAAACCGAAGCTAATTTCCGCTCGATTAAACAACATTGAGTATTGCCCGCGCAATCCGATACGTACTGTAGCTTGTGTGCGCCTGATGAATCACGTAGCGCAATTATCGATGCATCGTGACCACGTGTTGGACGCTCACCTGCTGTTGCGAGAACGTGTCTGCAGAGGGGAGTGCAGCACAGCGAATAGGCGTCCGATACAGTAATGTGACAACTAGAATTAGGCGTGTAAAATTCAACGGCGTGTAAAATTCGACTGCGTCTGAAGACGTTATACAAACACGAGTTTTCACGAGTTACCCGCTCTTTCGCTATAAGCACGGCCACATTGAACTCGGTGCGGTGGCGAGATGTTAACTACCTCGCCTGGTATTCAGGAGTTCGTGGTGTTCGAACCCGACCCTGACGATACCTGTCGTATTTGGTTGTTTGCGTGGATTTTTCTCCGGGTCGTCTGGGGTTTTCCCCTCCGCATTTAAGAGTCGTCCGCTGAGTATATGTGTGGCTGCGATACATTTCCACTTGTTTGAGCTATCCTTTGTGGCCAGGTCGCTTCTGCAAAAGAGCTATGTGGCTCAAGTGGGCCTTTACCCGGTAAAATATATATTTAAAAAAAGGATCAGCGGCAAGGGATATCTGAACCAGGTACTGGGGGCGTCCATCCACCCCCGTCCGCCTTCAATCCGCACTGACAAACGTGAAGTATGGTCAAACACCCCTCTCTCAACAACAGCGTAGGGAGGCCTTCATCCAGCGGTGGATTGACAAAGGCCTGTAGATGAAGCAAACGCATTTGTGCATGCAGTACTGTACATTCATGCGAGTGCGTTGCAGCGTTTGTCTCAGCTGGTGTCTCCCGAATTAGCAGCGGAAATTCCACATTCCTGTGCCGAGGGACCAGTTTAACGACAACAAAAACTCTGTTCTATTTCCAGAAAGTGGTGTGCCTGTGCTATTATTAATCGACCACAAGAAAGATAGAAGGAAGGTGACGATTGATGGTTGATGACGTTGGACTGGAAATTTATATCTCTGTCTTGTAGATGTGACATAAATAAACCTGACAAAACATGTTCTGCATGCAAATCATTAGAGAAACATCGGGACATTGAAATAGTTAAAAAAATATATATTTTGCCAGTTTGACCTTTTTTGCATACTAACACTTTTAAGTGCATTTCTTGTCATCGCGCTGCAGAGAATGGTTTAATAGCATAGCAAAGTTCATATCACGACTGACCAAAGCGTTCTTGCCAATGTGCGCAGGTGTCCTGTGCTCCATATTTGTGAGGCTACTTCACACGGGCTTATCGCGTGAGCCCGGATAGCTCAGTCGGTAGAGCATCAGACTTTTAATCTGAGGGTCCAGGGTTCAAGTCCCTGTTCGGGCGCTAATTTTTTTAAAAATACATTTTTTTATATATATTTTATACAGTATACATATAAGGAGCGGTGGTATACATATAAGGAGCAGTTTTCACCTCCACATTTAGAATCAACATCACGCGTTTAGAGTATTTGACCGCTATACATTTCCACGTGAGTCCCTTTGCCGATCTATCATTTGTGGCCACATCGTTTCGGGAAGAAAAAAAACACTGTATAGCTCAGTGGGCATATTTGGCAAAATAAAAGCGAATTTAGAAATATTTCTTTTTTGACATACATTATGCAGTGTGCTAACCACTGCGCCACCGCTCCGCGCGAACATTGACTTGAATCCTGGACGCTCAGATCTAACAGTCTGATGCTGTGGAATTTCCACCAAGCAGACACTGTCAGAGCAACTGAGACACTGTGGCTGGACCGAAGCAGCCCATAATTTCTCAGTATAGATCAATAAAGTACTATTGTTGAGAAGCCAACTGTAGCTGTGCCCTTTCGCGACGCTGGTTCCTGCCATACGAATGAGGAATTTCCACCACTGGCTCGATCCTGCAAATATACACATATAAAGTACCCGCTTGTGCAGACATACGGTACACGTGTGTATTGCACATCCGCCTGTGTCTCCCGAGTACTGATGCTTTATACACACCGCATTGGGTGATTTGTTTGAAGGTTGAGTCACCCCAACGAAGAACCAGGACAGGTTCAAATACAAGGAAGGAAATGTCTCACCACTGACATTCACCGTGGCCATGTCAGCCGGGTTTACAGGGAAGTGCGCTCAACCACAGCGCAGCGGCTTCCTACAACAACAAAAACAGACAACCGCCCGAACAGGGACCGCCCGAACAGGGACTTGAACCCAGGACCCTCAGGTTAAAAGTCTGATGCTCTACCGACTGAGCTATCCGGGCCCATGCGTTCACAGGGGCAGCACAAACCGAACAACGAACACCCCCTACCCCTGAGTCGACACGCAGACTCGACATGTTGATCGCGATCACCGTCGAAGGCCAAACCGGCACGTGAGGAAGTTATGGCCAGCAACCACACCCGGCCACCTTTGTCTCCCCAGTTCCGCGAATATGTACACACAGCACCGGGCTCTCGTTTAAAGGCTGAGTCGACCGAGGGAGAGGTTCATTCTGGACCGGTTCAGATATTCGTCACTGATGTTGGCCGTGAGTGGAAATCTCACACACCTAATCATGCACTTAATTTATAGGCTTTAACAGACTGGGAAAGTGCCGTGAGCGAGCACCTTATGAATACCGGCACAGCACGCGATGGGGGTGGGGTGGCCGGTACCACGCACAGCCACCTTTGTCTCCCCAATGCTGCTATTTACACAACGCTCCAAGCACTCATTTAACGCTGAGTCGACCGAGGGAAGGTCCAGGATCAAGTTCAGATATTAGTCACTGATGTTGGCCATGATTGGGTGGGAACTGCGTGAAATTGGCTCGTGGCTGCATGAGACGAGCTAGTGGCTGTGTGAGATTGGCTCGTGGCTGAGTGAGATTGGTTATTGGCTAAAAACAAAAATGCCGTAAATCAAACTAGGTCTGGTGAAGATCCAGTTGAGAAGGTAACAATGCTTGGCGGGAAATGTCGCCTGGAATCAACAAATTTTAAAAACCCACGAACGATTTTTAATCCTGGGTCGATAAATTGAGTACCATTTGGTGAAAATTCAACAGTACTCTCGGTACAAATAATCGTTATACTTTTTCTCGTCATGGAAATGTGGAATTTCCACCAAGCAGACACTGTCAGAGCGACTGAGACACTGTGGCTGGACCGAAGCAGCCCATAATTTCTCAGTATAGATCAATAAAGTACTATTGTTGAGAAGCCAACTGTAGCTGTGGCCTTTGGCGACGCTGGTTCCTGCCATACGAATGAGGAATTTCCACCACTGGCCTGATCCTGAAAATATACACATATAAAGTACCCGCTTGTGCAGACATACGGTACATGTGTGTATTGCACATCCGCCTTTGTCTCCCGAGTACTGATGCTTTATACACACCGCATCGGGTGATTTGTTTGAAGGTTGAGTCACCCCAACGGAGAACCAGGACAGGTTCAAATACAAGGAAGGAAATGTCTCACCACTGACATTCACCGTGGCCAGGTCAGCCGGGTTTACAGCGAAGTGCGCTCAACCACAGCGCAGCGGCTTCC